GTTTCCCCCGTATAAAAGCCGAATCCGGTTTAATCTTCTTATAACATGAGCTTTTATCTCTCTTCCTCCTCTTTATCTTCATGCTGTTTCGTCATTCAGTCCCCAGGAATTAGGCGAGCATGCCTTGACAGGTTTGATCACAACTAACATGGAACAGCTTGTGACAAATGCCAAACAATAGGTTTGAAAAAAGGAAAACTTCTGCAATTCTTCTCGAAACAGCACACCTGTCGCAGCCTGTTGGGAAATTTATACTTTGAGTTTTAAATGTGAAAAAAAAACCCTGACATACTGATAATTTGAATAAAAGAAATGAAAAAACAATGATTTCAGGACCAGACATGAGGACCAAAGGGCATCAGCCTTTTTTTCTACCTGTGTCCCAACAATAAACACAAGGCAGGTGACGCTGAATAAGCCAAAGGAAATGTCAACAAATACAGTGTACACATGACTCATGTTTACCACTGAAACTCATTTCTTCTACCAGATACCCCCTTGAGTCTCTATTTGCAGTGAAACGAACTAAACTACAGCAGCCAATTCTGATATTAGATTTTATTTACAAGCTGAGGTTTGCAATGGGATATAATGTGCAACTTTTGGCCTACAGGATGAAAATAATGTCCTGTGTAAATGAATATGTTCAGAGGCTTCGGGATTAACTTCAGTCTAGATACTCACGCTCAGACTGCTCAGGAGTAAGGACCAGGACGGTGATCTTGGTTGAGTCTGACTGACCAATGGTGTCTATGACGGTCAGCTGGAACTTGTACACCCCAGATGTCAGATTGGACACGACAATCTGGTCTTCAAAGCTGGTTTTCTACAAGGCAGGGCAAAAGAGTTATCTCATTACCCACAAATGTGACCTGTGCCACTAGATTTTCAATTAAGTGACAGGCACAGATAAATAACATTACAGCAGACATTTAAAAGGAATATCAGGCACGCGAATACTTCAGGAGGATTCTTTTATTTTATTTCCCCAAACTGCATTTTCAGAAAGAACTGTGGTGAGATCAGGTTCACATTGTCTCTTTTACTCACCTCCATGACAGCATAAGGATATTTGGTGAGCATCTGCCATTGGAAGGATGTAATCCCATTGTCATCATTGCTCTCTATGCCATTCAGTGTCACTGCATCCTGAGGCTGGACCACCCGATCCGGTCCTCCGTTGGCCACTGGAGGACGGTCAGATTCCTCTGGAGAGAGACCTTGGGATCAGTTTATATCACATGTATACAGTTATTTGTGGATAGGTGGGAAAAAACTATTTCTGGTCCAAGACAGTTGGAACAGAAACCTGAACCAGGGGCCACAATGACATGGCGTGTGTGAACATGCTGAATTGAAGATTTCTGCCCTAAATGTGTGGCCTTAAATATCCTGACTACAAACAGCGTTTTAACAGAAACCACATAAATATTACGTTAAATTTTGTTAAATGTTATAATTTAGGCACACAAAATTAAAGTTTCTCCTAGGAAATGGGCCCAAAAATATCTATTTTAACTTCTATGTCCACATAGACCTGTAACACCTTCAGTTCTTTAGACAGTAACAAAAGTAACCACTGCGACACTATGCAGATCCTATCAACAGAGGGCCCAATCTGTGATATGCATCTTCACATGGAGCTATTGGATTAAATGCAAATGTATTCCTGACTTCAAGAATATGTTAGAAGAGTTTTGGTCTTACTTGGGGGTTCATCCAGGTAACTGTCATAAACCGAGTCCAGGATGTAATTGATGTATCCCTTCTTCCTGACAAAGCGGCACACGTACTTCTTCTTGTACAGACAATCAAACAGAAAGCAGGATTTCACCGAGCCTTCGTCGGCTCCTCTTTCCATGAAGGCGACATTGCACTTCGGCTCTTTACAGCAGGCGGCCACGCAGTCCCTGTAACGATCCAATTTGGGCGACGAAATGAACGTCGCTCCGTCTTTCACAGACTCATCTGCATCAAGGATGAAATCCTCCCGACCTTTATGGAACTGGGCTAAGCATTCCTGTCCGACCTGGCAGCGAGTGGACTCCAGCAGAGACATTAGGAGCAGGACCGCCAACGCTCCCAAATGTCCTTTAAGGAGTGAGTTCATTTTTCCCCAAAAGTCCCGTGTTAATATATATTTAAACTAAAATAAAAATCTAAATCTCCCCTGTAACGACGGTGAATTTGATAGAGAATAGAAATGCCGCTTTTTATTTTAAATAAAGTGGACTTCTTCCAGGAGTGTTTAGGCCGCAAAAGAGGCAAAACAAGTTTGCTTCTTCTCACAAGTCAGCCTTCAGTACAAGTGACATGAACGTAGCTCCTGACTTCCTGCTGCGCATCCAGAAATGGTGTCAAAAAATATCCCACAAAGGTCCCAGACACAACTCCGAAACTCTCACAAGAGATTTTGCCGTTTGATGTCGATAAAAACCCGAACAAACGACGACATTGCCCCGGTGACTCACCTGAGAGATACAGGAAGTGAAATTCCACCCTTGAGATGCCACTCCCTTCTGTTACATGACTGCACACACACCGAGGACGGAGCTCTGTGTGTGTGTGTGTGTGTGTGTGTGTGTGTGTGTGTGTGTGTGTGTGTGTGTGTGTGTGTGTGTGTGTGTGAATGGAAGAGCATCACCGTGTATAATATTGAAGTGGTCTCATATTGTGACAGGAAATGTGAGCTTTAATAGAGTTAGCTGCTTTCACATTCTTCTCTTTTATTCTCCGTCTTTTCAGCTTCATACATTCAGAAGATGTCGGCCAGAGTGTGTATGCTTTTTGTGGTGGTTTTTCTGTGGGATTAACTTAATCTGAAGCATTTAAGAACCCTGATTTTGGAAAATGTTAGGCTATATAAATAGCCTACTTAGACTAAGAAACATAGTTTTTTTTTATTTATCAGTTCAAAAGAAACAATTCTAACAATACTATCTCTTTTATTTTGTCCATATTGGTGAGATTTTGAGTTAACTCTTGTTGTGTGCCCCTGTAACAACAGTGGTTTACCAACCTCTATGAGCAATGATTTCTCCTAATTTTGATTTCCCCATGAAAAGGTCATCCTGTCTACAGTCCTGAGCAAATAACACAACAAAAAGGTATACAGCTAGAGGACAATAAGAATCTTTATAGGATACGTCAGAATCAGCTTTATTGGCCAAGTATGTGTACACATAGGAACAGCATAAAAAGACCAACATCATCAATAAGGTAAAAAATAAAAAATAAAATAGTTATACAAATCTGGCACATAACATCTGGTGGTAATGTGACAGAACTGTATCATAGAAACAAATATGTTAAACAAGAAATAAAGAGTGGGTAAGGTTCATCTTTCAAATTCACATGCAAGCTTCAGTCCAGAAGGTGGCAGTATGATCCCATCTACAGCAGCTCAGGGTCAGCAGTTTAGTTTCATTTTTTTGTGTAACATTGTGAAACATGTGTTTTGGCTCATTCATTCTTGCATACAGCATCATCATTAACATTACTTACCATTTAAACTCATGGGACTCCAAACCCTCTTTTCACAACTGTAGTGATACTGAGATAATTGTTAAGTGTTGAGTCATCTAATTATAGTATGTGATGAGTCATAAAGCCTCACATGAAGTTCTCAACAAGGTGTGAGGCAGTAAGTGGTCACCCAAATTATGCAATTTAGATGAATTGGTTTGGTGATTTAGACTGAATCATAATTCCAACCTAATTAGGCCATTGATTAATTGAGTTTTGGAAAAACAAAAAAAGTTTCCACAAACTACAGTTTCCTGACAATGAGATCTTACATCTTAATCCAACATTGAAGATAAAGCTCATTTTACTGCCTCTACTTAGAAAGCGTTACCTAGCCAGGTCCGAGGTGAGAAGGCCTTACACAGGACTCCGGTCCATGTCCCCCCTGCCCACGCCCCTCCTTTTTTTTCCTTTGACAACCTGACGGTGCAGAACCAAGCAGCATAAGACGAGATGAATGAATTTGTTTGCCCGGAAAGGTGAGCTGCTGAAGGCACTTAATAATTCAGTGTTTGTAACAGACGGTGCATCAGTGGGTGAACACGCGCAGCTATGGCTGATTGATAGTCCCTGCCAAAACAAAAAACTGAACCCCATTATTCATATCGTAATAGGATCTGTGGAAACTCTGCAGCTCTGTTGTCTCTGTTGTCTCAACTTTAATAATTTGGCACTGGCAGGTACAACTATGAATTTTTGACCTTGGCTTATGTGCCACTGTTGATATTTGGCTTCACAAACATTGGTTGGTTTCAAGACTTTTATTTGACATTTGACTTCTAAACAGCCATAAACAGTGCTCCCCTACTCATCCATTATTTATGGGTGCGTAACTGAGGATGCCAATTTGACTTCAAGGCTTATTAAACGTACACCTGATAATGCCTGTTATAAAGGACAAGGCAGCTATCACACTAGAGGAACCCTGGCTCACCTGTCAGGGGGACCCAGCTATTGTTGGACGTGTTTGTGAACACAAGAGCCCTTAGCATGTCAAACCCCTTTGACTGTGTGCAGATAAATACTTTAGATACTCTAACTGAGTGAATATAAGGAAAATATCTGTTGGTTGGTATGTTTCTGATGACAAATCATGATCAGAGTTAAAACCAAACTTATTTCTGTATTTTGTGATGGCAGAAAGACACATATACAGCATATTTTGAGCCACAGTTATATTCCTAACTTGATTGCTGTGGTTGCCTCCTCACCCATTCACCAGTTTTTATCGCAGTAATTGACCTATGCTCTTCCACCTGTTATAACACAGAAGAGAGCAAAAAGCAAACATACACCCTATAAGGCATGTGCGCACACACAAATGCACACACACACACAGACACACACACACAAATGCATGCACACAAACACACACACGCACAGAGGCATATCTCATTACCATCCTTCTGATAGTGCAGCCAGTGGGTGTTGCAAGAGGAGGAGGGAAGGAGAGCAAGACAGTGAGCTTTAGAGAAAGAGAGAGAGAGAGAGAGAGAGAGGACAAGGACAGGCGGAGCAGAGCTAGTGTTATAGAGAGAGGGAGAGCACGAACACTCAACAAGATAACAGGAGATACGCGTGGGAACAGCAGCCCACAGGAAACGCAAAGATAGAGATAGAGCAGGGGAGCCGGTGTGCACAAAACCAACGTGTCAGAGCCTGTGGGTCTGTCTGTGTGTGCGTGAGCACAGTGTGTTTCCACGGTTCTCCTGAGGCCGTGGTAGCCATGGCGTCAGAGCCTAGCACCCAGTCCAGGGTGATGTTCCAGGCGGCGAACAAAACAGAGGAGCCGGCGCACCGCAAGCTGGGGAAGCTGACAGTCAAATACAACCGCAAGGACCTGCAGAGGAGGCTGGATATCGAAGAGTGGATCGACGGGCAGCTGCACCTGCTGTTTGACTGTGAGGTAGGGTAGGGCTTGCTCACACAGACACACACACACACACACACGCTGAGGGGGATATGAGGGGAAGGAGCAAGGGAGGCATTGAGCTGCTCATAGTGGTGGGCTATCCATCATGTGAGAGATTACAGCAACCTGAAAGAGGAGTGGGTGGGGAGGCAACTAGCTTTTGCCTCATGGCTGCAATTTCAGGCACACAAGCTCTCATGTGTGTCATCAACCTGACTACAGAACATGAAGAGGATGCACCAAAACAATATTCCAGTAAATGACTGATAAAGCAATAAAGAAGTACCAGATAAAGTAATAAAAACAAGTTATGGACCTGGATATACTGTTTTTATGTCCTGCTATTATGGTGTCATCTAGGACATTATGTCATCATTTTACTGTCTGTGTGTGCCCCCTCGCTCTGTCTCTCTCACATTCTTCTGGACAAATTCACTTTTTAAGTATGCATAATAAAAACTACACACTTAGATAGCCCCTATATATTGCCCTCCATCCAAGATCTGCAGTTTACATGAACACAATATGTGTTGTAAAAAGGTGTAATGTGAAAAGGTGTGCTCATTATTTCCATAGTGTGCCTAATTTATGGCCTCATTGCATAGATGGTAATGTCTAATATATACAGGATATTATACTGAGACATCAGCCAGCTCTTTCTCTCTCTCTCTCTCTCTCACACACACACACACACAGCAACCTTCATAACTCCACTCCTGTACTGCGGGATACAATCCAATTATGTCAGAGGCTCCATATTGATTTGCTTGGCATTCTCTGAGGGGAAACCATGGCAACAGATGTCTCATCGCCCACATGAGGCAGCATGGCAGAGTGGAATTAGGGGTGTCTGTTTGGGAGCACAAGCTTCCTAATGACGATGCAGATCAGATGACAACACCGCCTCCGTTTCCTGCTGGAGAAAGCAGAGACAAACTGTTTCTCATTTAATTTTTGAACCACATGGAGACCCTTGGCTGCAGACGGCCTGTAGCCACCTCTCTGTCTGGCATCCCCTTACACTGCCAGGGAGCCCTTTGCATAATGGCAGTACTAATGCTGCAGAACGTGAGCATGCATCCACATCCATCTGACTGGCTGGCAGACGGGGCAGGTAGTTCTTTACAGCAAATCTAGTGATAGCCAACTAGTATCTCCAGTTATCTCTCCTCATCTTTTTCTACACCAGTAAATAGGAAGGGTTAACCGCAGTTAGTTTCATTTTAAAACCCTTTAGTCAGAGCTGAGCGCTAGGAACATTGTGCTCATCACAATACTTATTTTATGAGCTTCATTCCATTCACATCCCAAGCCTTCTTCCCTGTGGTAATATATGATAATATGCTTGTAAAGCTGAGGGTGGAATAAATCACATTAGTGGAAACCAGGACATGTGGATAACAAAAACAGACTTCCTCTGTGTACTCTTTTGATCTTGTCCCAGAAACATACAATTATCTCCCGTTTGCAGCACTTGCCCTTTATGTTCTGGTTCTAACATAATCCAACGTAAGAATAAATGTACAGACAGAGGATGTGCATGTTTCCCCAACAAACTTAATGATGGGATCTCTGTATCTGACGAGACGGTGACAGAAAGCAATAACACTAGAAATGTCTTTGATTTAATCACGATAGTGCCTGACACCATTAACCATTGTTAACCGAAACTCTTCTTCTATCAAATTGTTCTAAGAATAGTCTATGTCCTTCCTATATGAAAATAAAGGCTTTCCTTTCCAGGTGGGAAGGACTGGATATTTGCATTAGCTACTTATGTGGAATTAGTCGTGGCCTGTCCATGTGCACTGGCCAGTGTAATGAATTTTGCATGGGCTCAGGGGAAGGTTACTCTGTTGGTTCTCCGAGTCTTCCGCGTGGAAGCATTTACCATCAGTCCCCTGTGTCACCAGCTGAATTATTTAGCCACATTTCTAATTCATACAAGTGCTGCCTCGGTCTGGAGTGTCCGCCTTCATTGCAAACTTCACACCTTTTGAGAAATAATAAACTTTAAAAAGGTGTGAAAAAAGCTCTCAGATAGACTTGTTGAGCAATGTTGAAGCTTCTGTGTATATAATAACCGAGGAACCCAGATCAGTGTTTTCCCCACTGCCACTAAACTATAGGGACTTTTCAGCAAATGTCAGTTTTATTTTAATTAATAGACTACAGGACAGTAAATACAATTTCCACTGACAAAGGGTTAATTTATTTACAACTTGATATATTGTAAACATTATATTTAACAAGTTTTCATTTAGTAATTGTCCTGCTCTTATATAACTTGACAAGAGGATCTTTATACTCTGTTTGCCCTCTTTAAACTGTGTCATGCATATTCTGATCTGTGGGCAGCTCGTGCCTCTGACAGGAAAAGGGAAGGGTCTGATAAGTTAACACATGGCGACATCTTCTCAGAACAGCTGGACTTCCTGGGCATGGTTTCCTTCACAGTATAACAGCAAAACACAGTGTGTGTAAACCATACTGCGTTTTATGTTGATGTTTTGTTGTAATCATTTCTAAAATGTAGAACGGTACAGTAATCTAACTGTAAGCAGATCAACAAAAACATTTAAAGGAATAGTTCCACATTTTGTGAAATATACTTATTAGCTCCCTGGTCCAAAATCGACCACTCATATCTGTCTATTAATATGAAGCCACATTCATAGCTTAGCATAACAGGGTGGCAACGAGGGAAACAGCTAGCCTGGCCTATGCTAAGTTAAGTTAACTGGCTGCTCGGTGTTTATATTATGTATGTTAGCATATTTGGTGTTCATATATGAGTTTATGTCCCAGAATGTAAGGCTACAAGCCTAACACATTATAACCACAATATTAAAGAACAGTAAAACAAACCAACAAGACCCAACAACACAGGTCACAGAATCATAAAAGTCAAAAGCAAGTGTCTTACATGAACATCTACAGCCAATTTTATGGTAATATGGCTTTTAGATTTCTTGTTTTAAAAGTTGGTACGTTGACCTAAGGGTGGGGCTACAGGTTATATAATGACCAGATGAACTGACATCCTTTCATAGGGAAGTGTGCTCAGTAAACTTCATGATAATCCGTCCATTATTATTTACTATATACTAAGTGGAGCCCGATGTGAGGTGATAGAGTAAAGGTCAATGGGTCACTACAGTACAACACCCTGAGTAAATCAATCCTCAACCTGCTCAAAAGAGTTTGTTCTGGACTTCACACTGGAAATGTTCTCCTGGTGGTGGACACCCATGGTCCTCATCGCCCATGAATATCCAGTATATGCTTTTTTTCAATATACCTTGCAAAGGTCAAGCACACATTTTGACCTGAGGGTTGCCCTGGATGACAGGTCAGGGGGTCAACAAAATCTTTAGGACCCATTCACTGGGGGCCATTAATATCAATACTCCATTCCATGACAACCTTGCTCGTAGCAAATCTCCCTCTGGTCAAAAGCAATTTTAGTGACCTTTATTTATAAAGCACAACCCTAAACAAAAGGGATTAAATGAAACAGTACCACTCAAGAAGTGCAACAAGACAAATAACTCAAGTACTTGTGGTAATCAAAATAAATAAAAAATGTAAAAAAAGAATGAATAAACATTCAAATGACCAGGCTGCTACTGAGACGTCCTGACAGGAAAAAACAGGTCACCTTATGAACACTGATGAAACTTTCCTGATTCAGAATTATACAATTCAGTGGAGGTCACCTTATGTTGACAAAATCCGACTGCTATTTAGACTGCATCTGTATTGCCTGTAAAAACTGCAATCCTCTGAGAACCACTTTGATATTCATGAACTCCAGTATTAGTGCCAACATTCATTTTAGCTTCAGTCTATTGCTTTTAACTTCAAAAAGTGCTGCCGAGACATTTCTGCTCGGAGGCCTCATTAAAATGCCATTTTCCTCTGACAATGATGGTAACTCTCAACAAGCTGAAAATTGCGACTGCGTATATGAAATACAAAAGGTACTGGAAGGGTCATGGCATTTCTTCATGTAAATGCACACGTTCCTCTCATTTATATTCAGCTGTGCTCCGATTTAAGCTCAAAAGGTATATCCTTGTTCATACTCATCACTAATGCAGTACTCAGGAAGGTTTCATTTTCACATTCATCCTTTACCTACTGAACATGTCACTAGATAGTCCTTTAAGGTTCCGGGCAATATTGTGAATATATTATTAATCCTTGTTTATTGCAAGTAAGTGCTTCTAAGATCAACCAAACATTAGTGTATATATCAGCTTATTATAGCAATATTATATAGCAAATCTGGTTAGTAACAAAATGTATAGTTGGATGCTAAGAGGGTGAAGAGAATACACCTAATTTCCCAGCAGACATGACAATAAAGCTTTGAAATAACTACTCACATTCATTAGGTGGGCTGCTCTAGTATCATGTTAGCTCTGCACTACTGGCAGACTGTAGATGCAAGCTAAAGCTGCATGTAAAGGGAAAAAAGAAAACAATGGTTACTACAAAAATGTAACCTTATATACAGTATACTAAGACAAAGAGTCTGAAGTATTTGGCCTAACCAACTGACGCACAAAATATAAACCAAAAAGCACAACACAACCACCCACAGCCGAGCTGGTAAAGTGAAGCCCACACAGCACACAAATCCAGTACAGCCTGGACAAAGCCCTGCATGTTGTCCTGCAGACATCAGCAGAATCACACGGGGGTCCAAACTGGCAGCATGTATCAATTAGAGGGGGCACAGGGGACTGAAGGTGGGCCCATCTATTCCGCCACTCAGCACTTCCACATTGATTAGCACTCTCCTCACCCAGAAAGCTGTGCGAGCCCCATCTTCACCAGCCATGAAAACTCCCCAACCGGAAAATATTCCTCTTAAAAAGAGGCCCCACTTGTCAAATTTGAGTGTACACCTGCTGACTCTAGATATCTTAGTGTTCAGGGTTCCTCCAGTGAGCACCAATGAGTTCATTCCCTGTGAAAATGTAGCTAAAAGGTGTGGATAAGAGCTTGTGATATGAATTGATTACTCTGCTGTATTTGCTTTTTATAACTGGAGACTCTGTGCCCTTTTTTTACAGTCTTTACATTAGTTTGGAAAAAATCTTTCATTGTGCTGCCAGCTAGTTAAGGCTAAGGGTTTGCATGGATTGAATCCAGTTCATGTATATGTATTTTAATTCAGGTATATATACATTGTGGGACAACCTAGCTTAGAGGAATATATTCTTTAGAAAACATTTCAACTGGAAATAATCTCTCAGTTATAGCTGAGCTAAATACTATCTGGGTAAACCATCCATGAAATCTGATGATGGCACAAGGCAAGTGAGCCTGGGAGCCCTTTTGCCTTCATGCCTCAGTGCTCTTCAGCTTTGCTTATTTGTACAGCACTTCATCAATCACATCATTGTTATGGGAAATTATTAAGGAAGTGTTTATTCTTATTCCAACAATACAGCCAACACTATAAAAATCAGATAATTGCCTACTGATAAAAGTACAGTGTCAACTCTTGACAATTCAACAGCCTATATACAGTACAACAGCGGCAACGATTTCATTACTGTGCTGAAATGAAACCCCTGCCATGTTGCATCACATTATGGATCATATCTTACACTTTCTTTTCCTTCTGAATGACTTTGCTCAGTGGTGTGGATAGTCTTACCACTGTATGTGAAAGGATGGCAAGAAGCCCACATTATACAAGAGCCTTTGTAGCATGCAGAAATACAAGTGTGGGCAATATAATAATAGAGAAATATTAACCATAGAGCCTAACTTTTGTTTCTCAATGCTTTTACAGGAGGAAGAGATTCCAGAGTTAGAGATTGACATAGATGAGCTCCTGGAGCTGACAGACGAGGGGCAGAGAACCCGGCTGCAGGTAATATTGTGCAAGTTAGCTTAAAAACAATAACATTATTCACACTGCATTATATACTCAGTAATGTATTGCTTAGATGAACTGGTTCTTCACAAAGAAACAATTCTGTGGTATCCAGGAGAGAGCGAAAAGTGGTTCAGGTCTCAGGAACTAATTTATAAGCTTTGTGAGACACGAGCGCTTCTTTCTCCTAAAATGATGGCAACTCGATTAAAAAATACCGAGTTAAGCACATCATACATCTAAATTCTGCAAATTTGTCTCGCGATAATAGATTAAACCAAGGCCCCACTTATATCAGACGCTCTTTGGTAGGTATCCATGTGTGACCAATGAGAGAGTTCCACCTGACAAAAAGGGTTGAGACAATGTTTTTAGGTGCATATCCCGCCATATGCTTTGGTTTTCTTAGTGGAGCCAACTTGTGTTTTTTGTGTCTCTCTTCTTGTTCATCATCTGCTTTTTTGTTGTATTGTGTTATGTATGATGACTGAGTATGAACCCCAATAAATTATATTTGTTGTCTAGTCTCTAACTTACCCGTCAAGAGCAGAGAGGCAAGCACAGCAAGCACAGCGTCAAGGAATCAAAAGCTGTGTTTGGCTCCACAGTTTGTGTGGAGAAGACTAATAAGTGTATACATTAGATGCACGTACCTGTGGTTTGGATCTTGTTCCGTTGTGCTTAAGCCCCTGTAAAAATGACATTACATGCCAAGACCACCTCGAGAAGATAGTCAATCAATTGTCTTCATCTGTCCTACCTAGTAGCGTTTTTATATCCACACGTGGACCTGCCTTCTTATTCTACGCCGCACACCAACTTAACATAAGGCTAGCACAAAATGTCCTATGAGCACCAGGTCGCGTGTTATGGGACCAGAAAGTTGCACACAAAAATCAATACCCCTACACAGAGTAGCACTAACATAAAGAATTGAGACAATGTGGAGCCTCTTATCCTCCCATCCGTTATCTGTTTGGATGCCTGTATGTGCGGTTCACACATTTGTGGGACTCTTTCTGCCCTCTGCCCCCTCCTGGGGTCAGCAACATTCTAACACCACAGCAGTCAGGTTTTAAATGGATTTTTTTTATTATTATTTCATTTTAATTTATGGACTGCTATAACATTTTGTCTCCCATAAACATACCAATAATGCACATGTGATTAAAGCTGTACTGACTGTATTACTCAGATGGACTGTTTTGTTTATGTACGACTGTACATTTTCGGTTGCCTATTTATGTACATAAATATTTTTTGTTCTGATAACAGTGTTGTATGTCCAAATAAAATTGAACATTTTCAAGACAAGGCTGTTCATGAATTATAAAAAAAATGGTTACACCTGATTTTCAACAAAGTGACAGACCGACAGTACCGTATCATCGGGTATTATTCATTTAACACATACAAATAAATATTGACATGTCCATTACACCTATCCATTTAAAGTACCAATTAAACTATCATGTTATTGTCCTTTATTACTGCTCTAAAACACCCTTAAAGAATGATTATGTCCTACTGTCCAGAGACAACTACAAGGCCTTACTGTAGCACAGCTGTCAGCACATCATTCCCAGAATACAAGCTTCTGTTTTCTGGCGTACACTTTTCAACAGTGTGATGGAAACAAAGGACACGTTGACATGTCTGGTCTAGGAGTAAACACAGTGAAATCAGCAGCAGGAAGGTCCATTAAGTATGCATCCATTATCCTCATCCATTTCCTGTCTGTGGTGTGTGTCTGACATGGCCAGAAAAGGCAAACACAGTAACGGCCTCAATGCAAACCTTAATGGAGCGAGCCCCCAGAGGAGAGTGTAATTATGGCTTCTCCTCAGTTAGCTTGACAGTAATGCATACTGATGAAACTGCACTCTGGCCTTCCGTCTGTCACATATAGAGGGTCTTTCGGCCGAGAGTTCCATTACAGTAATTTGCTTGGTTTACCCCCCACTTACACGTTTGCTTCTCTTCTATCACGCAGAGGCCATCCATATTGTAAGACTACGCTTTTGACAAGACCTGCCAGCCGGGGACATTTCATCCAAGTGATGAAAAAAAGGCTTTAGTGTTAAAAATATAACTAAAAAGAAGTGTTCCCTAAAGACGTGACACAGCGCCTAACACTTTTGCATCCTTTATAATAAAATTACACGCAAGGACGAGAAAGGCAATACTCGTGTCGGACTTGCAGCCAAACATAGATTACAAGAGTGACTGCAGTGCCTGCCAAAAGAAAACAAAGCCCTCAGTAATCCTTTTATACTGACTCCTCTGTACTTCTTCAGTCCAGAGCTGACAGCAGTCTGGGATTGTACATCATCCCAGATGAGCTCATGATGTGTCTGCTTTCTGCATGTGATGTCAAAATAAAAAAAAAAGTGTGTAAAGTGCATCTAAGATAAGCCTTTGTTGCCTTTGGGAAGTAGGACAAGTGACATAAAAAAAACCTTACAGTTTCTTATTCATGGGACAGTTTAAAACTTTTCTGTGTGCAGAAGCTGTGCTGTGTTTTGCTAAAATACCAACACTGTTTAGCAGCCTCTGCGAGATTTACATACATCTATTTTTATACATTACAGAAAAAAATAGGAGCTATGTTTTTCATATTATACAAGTTGTATTACATTTACATTAAGGTGTATGTCTATTTTCTAGTCTTTGCTTTGCCATAAATGTTACAGCTCGTTTTTGATTTGTTCAGTTCATTTGAAGCCCTGTTAGCAGTTACAGAAAGCAGATGCTGCTCCTCCTGTGGTCTACTTAGATGCATATTTGTAGCCACTTTGGGCAAATTGGATAAAGTGAGGTTAAGATTAAGGGTTCTGGCTTTCTTTAGATAATAGGTAGTGTTTAAATCTTTTGAGACACTGTTTTATTAACACTAATAGGTCACTTAAGTCTAAAGCACAAGTCTAACAGCGAGGACTGACCAGAGCCTGATAAGGCAAACACCTACAGCACACTCTCACTATCATGTCTTCCTCTTCTTCTTTGGTGCAGTGTAGTTAGTGGTGCGATGCTCCATCCTGTCATATTTATCATGGCCTTCCCTAGGGAGATAATGGAGAGTGGATTGATAATTCATCAAACTAAATACTTTATATTCATGCTGCTTAACAGTATGTCAGCAGCCTGCCTACAATTTATCTGGGCCATGGTATGCATTCCAAATCACAACCATCTTTGTTGAGCATCAGAGCAAAGATTCCCATGCAAAGCTCTACTGTGAGACAAAGACAAGAATTATGATTGCACTTATTATAAAGAATGTATTTTAGGCTACCTAAAGCAGCGGTTGCAGTATAGGTCTCCATCACAGGTGTGACAACGAAGGGTGGCGTCTTGGTTACAGATGCAGCACCATGGAAGCTCTTCTTCATCACTATCTGATGGCTGATGTGCAACAGCAGCCGGTGAAATCCTACTCTTTGGAGCCTGGGTCACACATCATATCAACAAGGGATTACATGTCACATGTTATTCTCGCTACTAGCTTGAAGTATGTATGAAATTGTATTCTTGGCTGTTGATTAGTACCGGTTTCTTAGATGTTTTTTTCTTTTCTGTGTTCTTGGGTCCACTCTGTTCTAATGGTATGTTGTAGCCACTGGCTTCATCCAAAGCAGCCTCTTCAGACAGCTGGAACAAAAATAAGAAATACGAGATTTTTCAGAACACGTCCTCCAATGCACAATACAAATTATTAAAACGGCAAAATAGCAGCCCCTTGTGGCCTCTCGCACTGGTCCAGATTAGTTCACAATCAATCTTTATGGGTGTGATATGCAGTCAGGAGTAATGGATTTACTACTACATTAAAGTATGAACTTTATTTTGCACAGACCTGTTTCAACACTCTCATCACAGCTTCCTCCTCAGTCTCCTCATCACTGTCAGGATGCTGAAAATCCTCCATAGTGACTAGAAGTGACATGACAAATACAACAATGACAGGTTTCTCCAAGACATTTACACTTCTGTTATGTCCACAGTGTTTACAGTCATCATATTTTCTGCCTTCCTAATGTGAAATTAAGGATAACAGACTAGTTTAATGAAGTGGTACACCAAGCTTTTTGTGTATGATGTACCTTTGTCTGGGTCCTGCCCCTTCAGCTGCGCCAGCCTCTTGGCCATGTGGAGGACTTGATCCTGGGAATGGTGCTCCTTCCTCAGCTCTTCCATGGCCTCCTCCAGCAGATGGGCCTTCTCTGTCTCCAGCTGCTTGACCGAATCCTGGTTCTCCTCCAAATTCTCATCCAATGCTCCCCCCTCCCCCTTGTTGAGATCATTCATACGGCCATCCACACCTGCAGAGGGATTAATAGGTTTGAGTATATTTAGGATGTTCTTCTATCTAAAATATCTGAACAAAGTCATATTTTGGTGTCAAATACAGTTGTGATATATTATTACGATTGCATAAGACTGTGATATGAGCGCATCATTAATTATTAATTGAATGTGGGAGAAATCAAGGAGACAAGCAACATCTTACTGCATTCAGGATTTGATTGTTGGTTGTCTATGGCAACTTCCTCAGTCATCTGAGTAATCAGATCATTGGCTTGTTCAGTCTGAGTCCTGTTATCTGGAGGCTGGTGCACCTGTACAGATGAACAGCTATTTAGCATACAGTTCCTTATAAATAGCCTTAACTACTTTAAGTGGTCCATGAGCCACATTATAAGGCCCTACATTGTAAGATGATACAAATAAGTAGGAAGGAGTTTTGCTCACAGGTGGAGGAGCTTGAGATGGTGGAAGCTGACCCCGTAGAGCTGCCAGACGGTCCTCCATCTCCCCTGTGGAAGGCACTGGCCGGCTGGGGGCTTTCAGAGCAGCAAGACGAGACTCAAGCTCTTTCTCAGACGGGATAGACTCTGGAGAAGGGGTAAAAAGGTTACAATGGCTTTTGCCTAGAGAAAATGATATTCTTGCTGTTTGCTTGTCAGATTAAATCAAAATGGTAGCTGTTAGAAATCTAATTTCATTACTTGGCGCAGTGTCCTCCTTTAGCTTTTGAAGTCTTTCAGCAATAGCCTGATCTTCTTTACTCAGGCCTTTGGTTGGTAGATGGCCTGCTTTGCTGTTTCTATTGCCTCCATGTGCAAAAGGCTGCGTCGACTGTGCCTGCTGTTTGGCCTCAAGTGCAGCGACCCGTCTATGGAAGAAACATGAACTTTAGATATCCTGAAACTGCTGTGTTGACAAAGTGTCCTTATTTCAAATCTGATCCTATACTGACTTTTTGTAATTTTCAGGAGGAGACCATTTTCCAGCATTGTTCGGAGGTTCCCCACTAAAAATAGAAACATGCAGATTATCAAGAATGCTTATTAATACTAATTAATAACCACAATTATATTCATTTGCATTGTTTGACCTTTACCTTGTCAGATTAGCATGGCACTGTTTGCAGACCTTCTGCTGGGTGTTGCCACAGCGAGGCACCACAGCACTGAAAGTCAAACAGCTGGAGCAGAAGGAGCGGCCGCAGCTCTTACAGCCCAGCTGTGAGGATATTGAAGCGTAAATCACATCGTTTGCTTTCCTTCAAACCTCCAGTGTGTATAGCTATGTGACAGATATTAGCCAGCATGGTCTTACCTCCTTCTTGAAGAGGCTGAACTTCGATGCACAACAATAACATCGGTTGTCCATGTCGACACGTGTAGAGAGTCATGAGCCAGGGAATTAGGATTGGCTAATATTGCTCTAGCTGGTAAAAATCCAAAATCAAACCGACTGTAAGAACAATGATTTGGCAGCTAGCTACCTATTTCAACCTTTCAACGTTGCTACAATCAAAACAGGAACCATCCCGGAAGAGGCGGTGTGACGTCGATTTGCGTTTTCCTGTTTCTGGTTCGTCCAATCAGCGTTCTCCAAATCCTCTCGCGGTCCTCGTTCAAAACACAGAGGCGACCGTTCTGACGGGAAACGTTGTCGCCGTAGAAATCTGCAAAAAGGACGAAAAGGACAAAAAGGAGGCTCAGAGCGGTATGAAAACTCACCTGGTTGTAGATCGACGGTTTTATTGTAACGTGTGACCGCTGCATGTCGCTAATATAGCGAACAACGAGCGATTGAGCTAAAGCGAGTGTTAGCTAGCTGGTGCGTTAGCTCCCGCACGTCGTGCACTCATTAAGAAAAAACGTCCCAACGTTAACAAACACTGGAGACACCACAGCTGTC